AAAAGAAAGAAAACATATTGATCAGACAAGAATCTGCTTGATACAAAAACAAAATAAGGTTTGCTCGTACAGTAACTACTGGTTAAGCAATTTCACAAGTACTCAGTCTTCGTAACTTTCATCTCCTGACATAGCGGCAAAATCATCTCCCTCCGCTGTTTCCTGCAGACATTTCAATTCCGAGTTTCAGGCAAAGAGTATATATCGATAAGCCAGGTGGTTCCAGATCTGTGGATACGAATGAAAAGGATACCTGTTTTTTGTCCCAGTCCTTCAGCTTTGGGTTTGCTAACATGTAATTATCTCGTAGAGGAGCCCAATCAGGAGCTTCGTCTTCGGATTTTTGAGCCTGCACCATCCAACAGAAACTCACTAGTAACTAGCCAACAATACTTTAGACTTATGACTAACAGCTCTCACTAACGAAGGTGATTCTTTCCGTGACTTTCTCTACTCAAGACAGACTCATCCAAAGGTGAAGGCTTTAAAAACATTAAAAATTGTCACTAGTAATTTACCAAGGATACTTATGATTTATAACTAACAGCTATCACTCACTCATGAGGTGATTCTTTTCGTGACTCTCTCTATAGGAGCTAGATCAAGACCGAATACTACTAACATGTTTCTATGTTCATCTAAAGGCGAAGGGTTAAACACTCAACACAAAGCATAATGAGAGAGAGAGTGAGAGATATAAAGACTATGCCAAACCTTGTTGTCTGTTTTTGTTTTCCCTAACTCAGAGAAGAATGCTTCTTTTCTTCGCTTCTTCAGCACTGATGGATGTTCCAGTAAAACACAAAACCAGGTTTAAGAGACAAAAATAAGACAGTAATACAGAAAGATTCATGCCAAAGATCAATATCTAAAGCCTACCTTTAGCGTCTTTAGACCTAGAAGGATTCAAACCCTTCTGAGCATGTTGAGCCTTGTTTACCTATTCGAAAACATAAACATTGAATTAGACAATCACTACCAGAGAATAAAAAACCCCAAAAATAGACATAGAAACAGACTTACAGCATTGAAAAGCTTGACCACTGTGATTCCACGAGTTCATGGAGAGGAAAAACTGAGTCAATACTAAAACAAAAAACACCAAACAACCTCAAGAAACAGAGAGTTAACATAAGCAACAATACCTCCTTTAGTAGCAACACCAATAAGAATCTTTTCATGAGAATCCAAATAACTTCCAGGTTTAACATGTCCTTTCTCAGCAATCTAAAAAAAAACAATTGTTACAACAAATCATCATCAAAAACAGGACACACAAAAGAACACAAAAAGAATAAAACCAAACTCATACCAAATGTTTAGCCTTTCTAGCTTGACCTTTAGCTTTCTTTTCAGCTTCTTCTTCAGCTAGCTTCTCTCCAATAAGATGCTTATGTGCTGATAAAACTGGACCCTGTTACACACACAACACCAACAACTATTCTAACACTTTTTCCCAAATCAAAATTCAAATTTAGAATCTTCAAGAAACTAGTTCATATCCCTCACCAAAGTATCATCTCCTTTAGTCTTCTTCATAATAGCTTTAAAAGCGATTTTAAAAGCATTACAACCATCAGTAGCAAACTTAGTGATTCCAGATTCAATCTCTCCATGATCTTCACCATCTGAATTCTCGTCATTATCTTCACCATCTTCTTCTTCAATTTCTTCGTAATTTGGTCCCATGTTAGCATCAGAGAAGATCTTCTCACGAATTGTTACTTCTGGTTGTTTCGTCGATTCATCTTCTTCTTCTTCATCGGAATTGTAATCTCGTGCTCTCTTCTGAAATAGCTTTTGATTCTTCATTGTAACCTTAAACCTATCGGAGGAAGAAGGTTTTGATTTTAACTTTTTGTTCCTCGCCGCTTTAGTACCTTTCTTTACGCCGACTCTTCTCTTTCTAGAGCCTCTATCTGCCATCGCCATGTGACCTTCTTCTCCGGTAGACATGGTTTCGTCGATAAATTTGGGTTTTCACGGCGGCGAGAGTTTGGGAGAGAAGAGACGAGAGATAGGGTTTTGTTATTGCTTTCTTTAAACCTTGCTCTTAAGGTGATATGTTTTCGGATTTTGATTTCCGGTTGATTTCCGGTTAAGTTCGGGTTCGAATTTGAAATTTGGGTTTGGGTCGGGTTTTGATTTCAATTGATAAATAATGGTTTCCACATGGTTAGCGACTTTAGCGTCGGATATAAGATTTGGTCGCGTAATCGGTTATTGGCCAAACTACGATTTTACTTACGGGTGTGAGTGGTTTAAATGCAGCGGATGCGGTAAAATTTATGGAAACGGACAGTTGCGGTTTCAAGAATTATTATATATTTTGAACGATTGATTTAACGATTAAAAATTATGTTTACTGGAGTTTTATGACTAGTTAACCAGTATGTGCGACAACGGTTAAATAAAAAATAACCAAAATATTATAATTGATAGTTATGAAAAATGTAAAAACACCAAAACTTTATATTATTATAATAAAATATTAAAAATTTTAAATATAACTAATAATAAAAACCATAAAAAGTATTACATAATTATAAATTTCTATCTCTCATTCACTCTCCGTTTGTTTCTTAGAACGATGGAGAATCTGAATTGCCGGAGCTATAAATCCCACCCCCCCCCCAAACCAGGCTAGGTGCTAGGTGGTGATGATTAAGGTGGATGTCATTGACACTAACGGAGCTAATGTGTCTCTCGTGGAGCATGATAACATAAAAGGCCAAATCAACGAATCTGATTGCGTCTTCAATCGGATTGAGGCTGCAGTTGTGCGAACTGTTTCTCCCACTCTGGTGCTCAGTCGAACCGAGGTTAGCTTCGATGATAAACATTTGTGTGAACAAAGATACATCAAAGGGATGTATGTACAATCCATACTCCGATATGTGGCTAAGGATCTGCGATCTGATTTATCGGTAAGAATGTTCTTTTTTTTTTAATTATCTTCACAAAAAATTTTGTTTTCTTACGATTGATGATGTTAGATTAGTTGATGTTGTTGTTATCTTTAAATATCCTCACAGAATTAGCCGGATTTCATCTTATGAAAATTTTGTCTTTCGATTTGCAAGGCTATTCACAAAGCTAAACAGTGGCATTCGTTTGAGTTGTTGACTGATCTAAGAATTTTGAACTGATTCCCTTTGCATTCTCTCCAAATTTGCGAAAGCGTTTGTGTAAAAATTTGAGGAAAATCACACTCTCTACTTAGAGGATTAAGAATCCTTGGATTCTGGATCTATATGATAAAAATATTAAATTTTTTAAATATAATTAATAATAAAAACCCATAAAAATGTATTACATAATTATTCAAAAACAAATAAATTTCATATTAAAATGTTTATTACTTCATGAATTTGATTCATCACCAAAAACTGCATCATGTAATATGATCCACTACAAACAAATATGTTTGAATCGTAGATAGTCCATATTAACAATATTCGTACAAATACTTATATTCGTATCTTGCCTTTTTATAGTTTGATTGACACCATGATTTTGATGGAGAAAATAATTTAGAGTTTTGAGAGTTAACGTTAATATATAAGGCCTGATAAAAAGAATCATTTCAGAGTTTTGAGAGTTCACGTTAATATATTTATTCTTTCCCAACTATCTAGTCCATTTAGAGACGGAAAATCTGTCTCATCCCATTCGTTAAGTTTGTGTTTGTTAGTTGAACTCAGGTCAGAAATGGGGTTTGAGTCAGGTTTTGATAATCGATTATCAAATAAAAAATAAAACTGGAATCAAAATCTTTGTCAAACAAACTACAATTAGGGGGTGTTATTGGTTTGTGATTTAAATAGAGTTTTAATAACTTTAATTGTTGTGTAGAATCTGTTGTTATTCAATCAAGATTTTGTTAAACTCTCTTAAAGTTTGGTGTTATTAGTTTGTGATTGTAAAAAGTCATTTAAAATC